AAGGCCGCGTGCGCGAACGGTGCCTGGACTGGCCGTGGCTCTGACTGCTGGGCGTGAACGGTGCATGTACTCGGGCTACTATGCACGCTGGCGGCCACTGGCCACGGCCTGCGTGACTAACGTGCAATTGGTGCTTCAAATACACGACGCTGAGTACTGGCGGCGTGTTGCGTGCACTGGACAGGGCCATCGGGTGTTTATCGTACACAACCGACGGTCAACTGGACGTTGGTTTGCTGACTGACGCTGCGCGGGCGCCACCAGGCGTCACTCGCTGCGCTGGCTACTCGTGCGGCTCATTTGGGCGCTGCCGAGGCCATTAACGCGTGATACTGTGCGCTGGTATGCGTTACCGCACGCTGGCGTACTTGACTGGGTGTTGGCGTGCACCAACGCACTGCCAACGATTACTCGCAGCGGGTACTGACCACCCGCAATACCTACTACGCACTCTCCGTGCTCTACTCACACTACCCGCTATGCTGGGCGACTGCTAAGGCGTGGCTGCCGCTATGTGCGGACAACTCAGCCACGACCGGCCCTTGCCGGCCGTTTAATGACTACTCTCAACTGAACCAACATCAAATAACATAATATGACTTGTCATGACCATATATGCTGATTTCCCCCAAAAACCATGAACTTCATTTGACGGACTCGAATAGCGTCGAAGCGTGTGCTCCGTGCGCCCTTGTTCGGCGTTAGACCAAACACTCGAACAAACATGAACTTTTATCGAACAACCTCAAAGAACTGATCATTATATATTATTTAAAGCTTATTGAGACTAGGGTTATTCGAACAATTCCGTTCATAACACAAGATACACGAAAGGGCAATCAATCGGCCCGTAGGCATGAACTTTGTGTATAGTTCACTTTCTTGAGCCAAATCACGAACCAAACTTCAACTTATCTTTACTAACATGAAATAACTGAACTTAAAATGATCTAACATGATCAAATAAGCATGAATTACTCGGTGTTATCCGAACAAAACTGAACCTCACTCGGTTATGACCTACATGGCCAAAACCGAACCCTTTACGACGTTTTCTTGCATTTCTTGACATGAACTCATCAAACTGAATTTACCATGATATTATTAACATGAAAAGAGGCTGAATATGAGGTTACCTCCTCAAGTGTTCGGAGAATTTTCCCTGAACGGGCATGATTCACTACCTCCGAGCATATGCGTACGTGTGTGTGTATTAGGGCTAATAATTCTTGCTAAGTATTTGCTGAGTGTTTGGATTCGACTATCAGCCCTATTTTTGGCCCAATTGCTGATATATATACGGTGAAGAATGAGGGAAAATTGGGACAATTGCTCGGCCAATGGCCTTGCGCCATTTACCGCACGATTAAGGTCGAAGGGTGGCGTTTGGATGCCTACTCACCCTACGCATTGCTTAGTCATGGCTCCGGTCCTTGCACCAGCCTCCAAGTGTCCATGAACGGATGACTATGCACGTAAGGATTGGGGAGTCTTGATCTTTCGGCGATTAGTTCGACTAAGCACGGCTTAGACGCGCTAAGGACGCGCTTATGTGCACTAATGGCCGTGCTAAACATGCTCAATGCTAAGCTAAACATGATTATCCCTAAACATGATTAACCTTAAACTAATCCTCATTAATGTTAATTAATCATCATTAACATTAAGCTAATCATGATTATCTTAAGCTAATCTTGATTAATTAGCTTAAATATGGATTAAGTTAATTAAGTAAGGTTTAATGACCATTACCTAATTAATGATGGACGGTGTACCAAGTATGAACGTGTCGCTGTATAGAAATGACGATGTTCATATATGGTAACCTTAACCGAACGTACTCGTTTTCGGTTACAACTTGACCTCGGAACTTAATTCGGACATCCTTGACTTAGACGATTAATTCGAACATTAATATTTTGAATAGTTCGTCAACTTGGCTTATTAATTCCGGACTCATTAACTAATTAAATGAATCGGAATTAAATCTGAAAACTCATTCGGTTATCAACCGAATAACATATCGACTAATAGTCGAACTTGGAATATAACTGACTGAATCACTTGAACTTGATCATGAACATGACTATTTATTAACAAAGGCTAGCTTTAAAATTAAAAGCTAGTATTTTCCTTTATTAATAAAACTTGGGGTATAACATTACACCACTAATGTTTATGTTACTTTAATTAAAAAAAAAAATCAAATCTAACTATAAATGTGTGAAATTAATATAATTTGCCTCCAATAAGTTCCCAATCAATGTCAATCACTGAAATTAATTAGTATATTACGTAAATAAAATTGAAGATAAAAAACATGTGCAATGATCGTGTATAAAGAAATAAATAAATCGTATGACATAGATTGATGGCAGAAACAATTCCAAAATATGTGGATCCTTACAATCCTTTTGATTCCACGTAACCAAATTTTAAATTAGATATTAGGTAAATAAAATTTAATTAAAAAAACAAAAAATTGTGTTGTAACATTTTTCGAAATAAATACTTTATGAGCAGCTGATTTAAAAAATAAAATTTTATTTTTCAAAACTTTTTTTTTATTTAAATTTTTAATATGTTTATAAATAATAGTAATTAAAAGAATTCAACAAATATAAAACTCATTTTGCTCTATTTGAAATTCAAAATTATGTTTTTAAATATATTAATAAGTGTTTATTATTTATTTTTTCTTTATGTGATATAATCTAAATTGTGTTATTAGATTTTTAAATTCAAATATTTAAAGAAAAATATCAAAAGATTTTTTAGGAATATTTTATTTTATCTTAACTTTCATATAGTTACATTTATCTAACCAAATTTTTTAAAATATAATTATTACAATATTTTAACTAATTAATTTTTTGCCTAACCGAATTATCTCATTAATAAAATTGTCAATTTTTTTAAAATTAAAATGGTAAGATTATTTGTATGGGTATATTTACCATAATATTAAACACTTTAGAAACTTTTTGAAAACAAATTTAAATTATCTCGCCTTTTACTCTATTTGAAATTAATAAACTATATTGTTAGATATATTAATAACCATTTATTATTTATTTTTTCCTTTTGTTAAAAATTATTGAAAGATTTTGTTTATTGATTTTCCACTATGGGTGTTTTTTGAAACATTTAATAAACACCCGTGTAGATTTTTTCCTTATATTTTTTCTTATGTTAAAATAAAATTCTTTTTGAAAGCATAATTAATTTTTTCCTCAAACATTGAAAATTTCGATAAGTTTATTGGTTTCTGATGGGATGATGTAAGTTGAGATTTTCAATCCAATTTCAATTGTTATGTTGTCTAATTTGTTACTTTAATTATATTGAATTTGATTTTACTCTTCATCCTCACTATCACCATCACCATCACCTTCCCCATCCTCATCACCATCACCATCCACAGCCCCATCCCCATCCCCATCTACACCAACAAAGTTATCAACATATTCATATAAATCAGCAAAATCTGAATTCACATTAGATTCTTCAGCATTCCAAACTTCAGCATTTTCCACATTCAATTTTTCTGTATTCCCCAAATTACCTTCTTCTGCATTTTCCACATTTTCCCTAACCACTTTAGCTTCTATTGCATTTTTATCTTCCCCCAACACATAACCTCTATCAGTGTCCACTATCATCAACAACATTCTTAAAGCTTTATGTTCCAACCTTCCCTGGAACTCTGAAAACTATTAATTCAAACTTATCAACCCCCAGTTTCTCAACTACTTCTCTTAAGTCAAAATAACCAAATCTATCCACATCTAAACTATGGACTGTCTTGAAAGTACCACCTAAGTACTCAACACAGTCTCCACATTTCATGAAGTAACCTCCATAGTTGACAAAAATTGAAAATTTATCACTGCGAAGCATTTAAGCATGTTTATAAACATCCATAAAAAAAACCCTAAAAACAAGAAATACAATTGATAAGTAGTACACATTCTCAGAACACTAATTCTAAAAATAAACCCAATTTTTTTTTAAAAAAAAAAAACCTAATTTTTCTAAAAAAACCCCAATTTAAGTTCTTCGAAAGCAGTCTAAGGAAAACATTTTGATATTTGAAAATGCATCATCCTTAGAAAACAAATATAAAAACACAAAAATTACCAGATTTCAACCCAACTTTGTCGCACTACTTCAGGATAAAAGACAAAAAATGAAGATTAAATTGTAGAAGAAATTGAGCGCCTTTTAGACATTACACTGTCATTTGAGATTCTCGATCCGGTTTTGAACGATTTCACTGCAAAATCTTCGTACACAGAGAAGATTTGTGTCGCGAGGCTTCGATTTTCTGGGGATTATTAAATTGGGAGAGAATTTTAGAAAATTAGGGTTTGAAAAATTGGGAAGTTTGATGAAGGATCGATCGGGTTTTGGGACTTTTGAGGAAGGATTTCGGGGTTTTTATACTTGGATTATACAGAAAATCCACGTAATTCTCTCGCTCGGTCAGCAAATGTAATAGTCCACGTAGGTACATTTTGCCGGACACGTTGGCGTCTATCGACCCTCTGACCATTTTTAAGTCCTGGAGACAAATCGGAGACAAACTTGGTATTAGATTGTTATTATTCAAAAGGTTGGATTAAATTGCCAAAAGTTGAAAGGTCAAGGTTTAATCGGCAATTAACTCTAAATAGTTTATATTTTGTCATTTATTTTACTAATGCTAAAATTTATAAAATGTACTGATCGACATATGCTTGATTTTGATCCTGATTGGGAAATAAATAATGAATAAATAACTAAAATTGAAATACGCTTTGAAATCTACCCAATCTGATAATTTCATCACGCGTGTGCAATGCATCATCCTCATCGAAAATAGCAAAGTGCAGATAAATTATTGCAAAATCAGTTTAGTACAGTTAATCTTCACTTCGACTGTTCGCATTTATCCTGGATTTCTCTCTCTACACACAGTACTTTGGTGTGTGAGAGAGAGAAGCAAAGTGCGTGAAACAATGTCGCACAACGGGAAATTGATGCCCAACCTGGATGAAAAGACGACCAAGGTGCTCAATCTGACGGTGCTCCAGCGAATAGATCCGCTGGTTGAGGAAATTCTCATCACCGCCGGTCACGTCACCTTCTACGAATTCAACATCGACAACAGCCAGTGGGTATGCTGATCATAGCTCGGTCAACTGTGGAGTCGGAGTTCATCGCTTTAGATAAAGCTGGAGAAGAAGCCGAGTGGCTTCGAAAATTTTTATCCGATATTCCATGTTGGAATACACCTTTGCCGCCTGTGATGATTCACTGTGATAGCCAAGCCGCTATAGGAAGGGCGCAAAGTAACATGTACAACGGTAAGTCTAGACATATTCGTCGTAGACATAATACTATTCGTCAATTGATCACAAATGGTATCATTTCCATTAACTACGTAAAGTCTAAGGAAAATTTGGCTGATCCTTTTACTAAAGGATTGAATAGAGATCAATTGAGAATACTGCTAGAAGGAATGAGACTAAAAATCCACAATGAAAAGAATAATCATAGTGGTAACCCTACCTTGCTGAATGGAGATCCCACTAACTTAGTTCAAGGGGAAAAATAAACTATGAAAATTCAGCTGAGCACTTGGAACATTTGAATGTCCAAGTCTATTCCCTAAAGCAATCCAAGTGCAAGATTACCTGTTGATTGTGGTGAGGGTAAGTCATC